GCTCAGCAGTCCCCACCCCACGGTATATGTTTCCTGCTGCTGGATACCACACCAGCGTGGCTATACCCGCTGGCCCATGCTGTGTGCTGACTGTGATTTGCCTACCAGCACCAACTTCACTGCCTGAGACCACCCAGCCTGTGGTGCTTGAGAGGATCACCTGAGTTGCGCTCCAAACACATACTCTGGTTGTCTAGGAGAGAGAAAAACTCTAGCAGGCTAAAGAAGTAGCCAGATCCCTCAGTGAAGTTGGCTACATGTAGCCATAGATCCACTCTCACTAAGCTCCTAGCGGAAAACACCAGCTGAGCTCATCCAAAATTATATGCAGACAGAAATCCGCATCAACAACTTCTGCAAGAAAGCAAGAGAAACAAAATACAACGTTGAAGGAAGTCCTGAACCTAACAACATTTATAGAAGATGCACACATTGAAGACATAAGACTCATGGCTGACATCATATAGATGATGGCCGAAGGCAGATAAAAACAAGATGTTTTTTTTTTTTAATTTTTTTATTACAAAGTCAAGAGACTGTGTGAATGATCACAAACTGTGAATAAATAGGAGAAATGGAAATTCCAGAAAACTTCATTGTACTACTGCAAAACCTGTCCATAGACTAAAAGGCAGTCATTAGAGATAAAATATGGTAATAATGCATGGTCTATAATCAGGAGAGTGGTGTGTTGGGGCTATATCCTTTCACCAAACTTGCACATTTGGTATGCTGAGCAAATAATATGAGAAGTTGGATTATATGAAGAAGAATCTGGCATTCAGATTCAAAGAAGGTTGATTACTAAACCGCGATACACAGATGACACAATTGTGCTTGCTAGAAGCAGAGAGAAAGTGGTGCACCTACTGAGTTTTAAAAAACAAAGATGTATGTTTACATGCCCCCAGTCTCAGGATTTTATATTGCTTTAATTTGCTTTAAATGCAGGACAATGAATAAGGAAGACCAAAGAAGGATGGATTCATTTAAATCACGATGCTAGTGCAAAAGGTTGCATATACCACGAACTGCCAGACGTACAAATGAATCTACTGGACACAAAATACAGCTGGATTGATACTTGCAAGTGAGGATGTTGGAAAAATTGGTCCACCAATTTTGGACATATTATCAAGAGGGGCCAGGCACTGGATGAGGACCTCATGCTGGGTAAAGTGGATGGTCAGAGAAAACGAGGAAGACCTTCAACTAGATCAGTGGTTCTCAACTTTCCTAATGCCGCGGCCCTTTCATACAATTCCTCATGTTGTGGTGACCCCCAACCATAACATGATTTTCATTGCTACATCATAACTGAAATGTTGCTACTGTTATGAATCATCATGTAAATATCTGATAGGCAGGATGTATTTTCATTGTTACAAATTGAACATAATTAAAGCATAGTGATTAATCACAAAA